GAGGAAGAGAAAAAGAGAGAAAGAAAGAAAGAAGGAAAATCTGCCACTACAGTTCTGACCATATTAACAGATTAAGGAGAAAAGCCACATGATTATTTCCAGATACATAAAGAAGCATTAGATAAAATTGAACTCTCATTCATATTCAAAAAAAAAATTCAAACATGAGTCGAAGGAAACTTTTATAATATAATAAAGGGGCTCTACCTAAAACTTACATCATCCATCAATTTTAAAAGCATTTTTTTCACATTTATTTTGAGAGTGCACATGCATGTGCACGAGTGAAGGAGGGGCAGAGAAAGAGAGGGAGAGACAGAATCCCAAGCAGCCTCCGTGCTGTCAGCACAGAGCCTGATGTGAGGCTCAAACCCACAAACTGCGAGAGCGTGACCTGAGCTGAAATCAAGAGTCAGACACTTAACTGACTGACACTTAACTGACACTTAACAGACACTTAACTGAGCCACCTAGGCATCTCTAAAAGCATTTTTACTAACGTCAGGAATAAGACAACGATGTCCACTATCTTTGCTACTATTCCATAAAATAATAATTGCTCTAAAGGTTCTAAGAAAAGAAGATGTAAGAAAGGAAGAGACAAACTGATGATTTTTACAGATGACATTACTGTTTTCATAAAAATATTCAAGAGCATCTACTGAAAAACTAGCGGTATTTATAAAACAAAATGCAGCAGTATTGATGGCTGTAAGATCAAAATACAAAAATCAATCATTGTCTTATAGAGAGAATGATAAAACATTATTAAAGAATGCAAAGGGAGACCTGAAAAAAGCTGTCATGTTCTTATCTGGAAAGAATCCAGACTGAAAAGACATCAAATTAATCAATTAATCCAATGCAATTTGAATCAAAATTCCAATAGGATTCTGGTTTATGATTTAGACAAATGAATTCTAAAAGTGACATCCAAGAACAGACAATACTGAAAAAGATAAGGACAGCTTTCCTTGCTAGATTTTGAAATTCCATATAAGGCTTACTACCGTATGGCCCAGCAGTTCTTTTTGTATGTATGTAGACTACTGTATTTACTGTTTACAGTGTCATAAATTTATAGTCAACATATAAAGACATGGACTTAACGGATATACACCAAACTGATAGTTACAATTGCCCCAGGAGAGGGAAGAGAATGGGATTAAGAACAGGGATATTTCAATGTTTTTTTTAGTATCCCATATTTTAAAATATATCTGAAGCAGAAATGACAAATGTGAATTCTAGGCAATGGTTACATTAGATATTAATTGTGTGAATGTTTCTGCATATTTTAAACTTGTCAAAATAAACAGAAAGTTAGTCAATGAATTCTTAAAAATAGAAACAAAAAGTCTGTGGGCACCTGGGTGGCTCAGCTGGTTGAGCACCTGACTCTTGATTTTGATTCAGGTCATGATTTCACAGTTTGTGAGATGGAGTTCTGTGTCGGACTCCTCGCTGAGCCTGCTTGGGATTCTCTCCCTCCCCCCCTCTTTCTGCCTCTCCCTCATTGGAGAGCTCTCTCAAAATAAACAAATAAACATTTAAAAAAGCGCCTGTGTTTATATTCACCGTTTGCTGGGATTTTGCTTTTTAAATAACATTATCCATCTCCAGACGTTTGGAAGGATAAGTGGAATTTGAACAACTTCTACAATTTTACAGTCAAATAAATATTGTGAAACTTTCAGCATTCTAAACACTGTTTCTGAGATAAAGCTTGTTTATTTCCCCCCATTCTTTAAAGATTAATCAGTTATCGTTAATAAGTGCAAGTCTGAGGTGGCCCTGGGACTAGGACAAAAGTCTATTGTAAATGTGTTTGCAGACTTTAGGTCCCAAAGAACACGACGCTCAAGGTGTCTCCATCTCTTGGAACAAAGAAGGGTATCAAGAACAATGCTACTAAAAATTAAGCAGATGTTTGCTTCCAGAAAAGTCTGGTATAAGTGCAAGGGCAGAGTGACAAACGATGATGGTGGAATGCAGGAAAACAGCAGCAGCTGTTTGCATTTCTTTCTTAATCGTAAAGTCACAAACGATGCCAACGATGTTAGAGTGAGAAGATCCAATGTGTTTTCTTGTTCCTCATCTTCTCTGACTCCTGCAGTATTCAGTATCATTACTTGACTCTTCCAGTTTGGGGAACACCATTAGATAGCCTGCTTTAGGTAGACTTCTGGTCATTTCGCTCATTTTTTGCTGTTTCTACCCCGGCTGCCTTATCCCAGTCTGTCTCTTCTCTCCTTTGAGGAGCTCATCAGTTCTTACATGTTGAGCCAATCGTCATCTCAAAAGCTCTGTCTCTAGCCCAAGCTTCAGTTCCACATTTTCTACCACCGAACTCTTTGTTCTCTGGTGCATCAACCAAAACTCAACAACAGCCAACTTTTCATTTCCTCTAGACTTTGTGTCAGTGATATTGTCATTCTCTTTGGGTGGAAATGTAGAGTCAGACTGTTAGATTGTGTGTCAGCAGGGAGTATGACTATGTTGTTGACCACCTGGGGCCTTGGGTAGTGCTTGTTCCACATGGTAAGTTTTTAATACGTTTCCTTGAAAGATAGAATCCTCGCCTCATCCATCTCTCTCCCCAGCACCTCAAATCCTATCACTTTTTCCTTCCTTCCTGGTCTTCTCTGATTTCATTAGAGAAAGACTAATCCGGTCAGTTCTGCCCTTTGCTCCTCTGCTCTACTAATTCTGCCAAGAGAATTTTTTCAAAACACAGAGCCAGTGAGAAAGGGGACAGTTGATCTAGAGGCGGCTAGCCAGACTATTCAGAGCTTGAATTGGCTCAAGGTGGTGGTGCTAAAGCCACAGTTTAAAGCAATTCACCTACTTACCTCCTTCTGATCTCTCCTAATTTGCTTACTGTCCATAGCCCAAATTCTCGTTTGGCATTTTTAACATTTATTTATTTTTGAGACAGAG